ATGAGACGATGAGATCCGGAGACCACTCTTACGAACTCGACAAGAATGGCCAGAGCCAACTCGAGATGGTGGCTACTCGCACCCCGCCTAGCGAGCCCGAGAAGCAGCAGTTGGCGCCCATTACCAGCAGAGCTCCAGAAGTCCACGAGAAGGTGCGTGTAAGACCCTGAGTGTTTGATCGTATACTAATTCACCCCTAGATGAACGCAAGGCTGGCCATGACGCTTCTGTGCATGTCATTCCTCTGGATTGGCTCTCAGATCCCGCTCTTCCTCTTCGGCTCTGTCCTGCCGCTCATCTATCAGGATGTTGGTGGAGTTGATCGATACATCTGGTTCATCATCGGATACCTCATCCCCAATGCGGCTCTCTGCCCTTTTGTGGGCGCATTGTCCGACCTGTTCGGGCGACAGAAGGTGGCTATTGTGGGTCAATTGTGCCTCATAGTCGGGCCGATTATCACGGTGACTGCGCATACCATGAACATCGCTATCGGTAAGTACCGCAACCTTATTTGAAACACCACAAACCTAACGACTCGTAGCCGGTCAGGTCTTCTCGGGAATTGGTGCCGGTCTCAATGAGCTCATCGCACTCGCTGGCACAGCAGAGATCGTGCCCATCAAGGATCGCGGCAAGTACGTCGGTCTTGTCGTGATCACCATCCTTCCCTTCTGCCCATCAGTGTTGTGGGCTCAATTGATTGCTCAACAGAGCAACTGGCGCTACAATGGTATTCTGGTTTGCGTATGGAACTTCATTGGGCTGGTACTCTGTGTCTTCTGCTACAAGGACCCGTCGCGCTTGACGGAAGAGTACACCGCCCGCCATGTCCTCCGCCAGGTCGACTACATTGGTGGCATCTTGAGCACATGTGGTATCACCCTCTTTATGATGGGTCTACAATGGGGTGCATCGCAGGTCAGTATACCATCCGAAGCAGGTGACATCGCAGTACTGACACTTCACAGTATGAATGGGGCAGCCCGCATAACATCGTGCCTCTCATTCTCGGTATCATTCTCATCATTGCCTTCTTCGTATGGGAGGTGTATGCCCCACACCCTATGGTTCCCAGGGCAATCTTCCACAAAGCGAAGCAGACCATGATAGTTATCCTTCTTATCACATTCCTCAGTGGTGGTAACTACTTCGTCCTGCTGCTCTTCTGGCCTACCCAAATCTACAACGTCTATGGTAAGCATGACCTACGACTATCTCTCCTACTACTTCCATACTGACATGAGTCTAGGCGACGACCCGGTTGGCGTCGGAATCCGCTCCCTCCCTATCGGCTTCGGCATCATCGGCGGTGCATGCATCTGCCTCGTCCTCATCCCCGCCACCAAGGGTCGCATCCGCGAATTGATGATCTTCTTCACGGCTATGATGACAGCCGGCACAGGCGCCATGTGCGTTGCGACTCCCGACAACCTGAACGTAGTGTACGCCGTCATCTCCCTAGCATCCATTGGAGTTGGTGGAGTCATTATCCCTTCCTCGATCATTGCGCAGATCGCCTGTCCAGACGAACAAATTGCAACCATCACGGCCATCACACTCAGTATCCGTTACCTTGGCGGTGCCATTGGTTTCGCAGTCTACTCTAACCTCTTCTTCCGCAAGGTCACTATCCACCTTACTGAAATCGTCGCCGAGAAGACGCTAGCTTACGGAGCCATCATCAACCCTCTGTCGGCGGACGGAATCGCTGTCATCACCCTCGTTACCAACCTCATGGGTAATGCCAGGTTCGACGAAGTCAAAGAGATCTTCGCTACCAACCAGGAAGTGCTACAGAGAGATGCATTCCCCGTTGTCCTGCGTGCTTCCCAAGAAGCTTTCGCGTTGGCGTACAGGTGGCCATACTGGATCTCGATCGCTTTTGGTGGTGCTTGCTTCATCTTAAGCTTCTTTGTTGGAAATATCAGGGGCCTATTGACGGCGAAGGTTGCTCATCCTGTTTAAGCAAGGGGGAAGCTTGCTTGTAATGCTTGAGATGTCTGGGTAGTCGCTCTGAAGGTGGTGGGTCAGATGTAGATACAGCAGCTCTCAAATGACATTCGCTTTGTTGAAGATCATGATTGTGACTTGAGAGTTGAACGCACATTTTTATTTGTACTTGCACATAGTGACATCGTCGGAGCGGTCACGCGGTTTGGTGGATGCGTAGCATATTGATAATGTTTCTTGATTAATGTTTAACTTTTATACTTTTTGAGACACATATCTTGTGTGGGTGAATAGCACACCGGGTATATAACGCCACGAGGAATGCCAGCATAACTTCGCCTCCACTAACTTTGCAGCCAAATTTTGAAAAAAGAAAAGAAAAAAACAGAAAGGAAGAGCGGGCTCGCTCAGGTACGCCCAGCCATGCTTAATAATCCACCGGCGACTACTCCAGCGCCCATTATACCAAGTTGCGTCCAGGGCACTTGGCCCACGTAGAGCCAGCTCTTTGAGACGGCGCCGACGAGATAGTCCAGTGAGACAGAGTTGTGTTTCGTATGCCTCGCATGCCGACGACCGGGCGATGGCGAAACGTTTGGAAGTGTGGGATCGTACTTTGGCGGATCGGTCCAGCGTCGAGAGGAGGATTTGGAAGTGACGATTACCGTGTCTGCGGTACTAATGTCTTCCTTTGGGAGGGATGCTTCACCAGCGGATATGGTAGGAAAGGTGAAGGCTGAATTGAGGGTACCGCGTGACTCGTCTTTGACAGAAATGACTTGGTCATCCTCTTCAGTCAATTCGGGTACAGTAGGTTCTGTTGAAGATACAGGTGTCGCATGGCTGAAGACAAAGTCTTGCGTGCTTTGCTCATCCTCGGGTGGTGTAACGACGAGGACAAACTCTGTGTTCTCCATGTTATCCGATGATGTCTTTAGCTCATCGTCGACACCGAAGTTTTCTTGGTCGTCTCCAAAGACTTCATCATCTTCGTCGTCTTCAAAGGCGTCGTCGACACGTTGCTCAAACTTGGCAGTTTGTCTAAACATGTTGAGCGCATCCATGGATTCCGTCCGAGAAATCGTTTTGCGGCGCCTGGATGACATGCTTAGTCGCGCATTGATAGAATTGAAGGCGTTTTGCGCGCCTGTGCTGTCCGCTTTGTTGAAGGTTTCGTAAAAGGGAGTGTCTGGGGGTGAAGAGGAAACATAGCCCTCATCGCCGGGCTCAGAGTCGGTTTCATCCTGACTCTCCGACCGATCGCAATTGTCCTCGTCTCCGAATACGACGTCGTTGAAGTCCAGCTCCTCTTCTTTGTCTGCGGCAGCGAACGGGCGGGTAATGGGAAACTTTGTTTCGTCGTCCTCCACTGATGCAGTGGTTGTAGGCGACATCTCTTCATCCTCAACAGGAACGTTGTATGGCTCGTAAGCCTCTTCATCCCAGCCGTCGTCCAAATCGCTGTCATCATCATCTGACAGGTCGTCGCCAATCTCGGCCTTCTGCTCCTGAGCCTTGAACTGGTGGTAAAAGTTCTCAAGTTCTGTCCTGGAGAACCACTGAAACTGATCAATGTGATTGGTAATTTGATCATCAATCATGCGATCAATTTCCTCGTTCATCTCGCGCTCAGCGTCTTCTACCGCTCCTTCTTCAGGCTCGGCAATGTCGTCGATCTCGTGCGCATTGTCGATGGAAGTGACGATGTTCAAGGGTGAATTACGATAGACCCTTCTAGACGAGAAACCTCTATGTTTCATCTTCCAGTCCCGAAACCCTCTCGCATAGTAAGACCGATGGCCCGGGTTTTCGCTCAATTCTGGATAGGCGGGGACGTCGGACTCTTCTTTACCTTCATAAGAAGGACCAATAGCGTGCGTGATAAGGATGTACCGCGCAGACATGACCTGATGTTCTGGACTGCAGCCAAGTACGGCGATATGCCAGTGCTCAGCTGGCGGCTCAACAACTGGCTCTGCCTCTGCCTCCTGGGTAGGCTCCGCGTGTGACGACTCCTGGATGGCGGGTGGGTCCCAATAGGCACGCTCGTTGAAAATGCGGGATAGCGTGTAGGATTCATCTTCCTTAGTGTCATCTCCAGTGGGAGGGACCTGCAGAGGGCCTAGCTCGGCGGCAGTGGGCGCGGAGGTGTCGGCGGTAGCATTCCAGCTATCCAAGTCGAATTCGTCCTCGTCGTCGTCGGCCCAGTTGAACTTCTGGTTAACACTAGCGACTGTATCGGAAGCCATGATTATTTGTGTGACTGTTTTGGTTTGGTGATCGTAAGTGGTAATCGAAGGATTGGAGATCGTTGTCGTATCAAGTTCAGTGATGGCTGGCGAGATCGCAGTGCGGTTGGAACTACGCGATAATGTGATGGAAAGAGTGACGTAAACTAGACAGTTGCAAATTCGTTCGTGGGTGTGCGATGGTGAGAGTCCACTATTTTACACACTCTTGGCGCTGGAAATGTCCGTGGTGGTGGTGGTCGATGCGCAGTCGTTCGTAAAGAGGGAAACGACGAGCGGGCTAAGTAGTGAAATGTGCAAAGAATGAGAAACCGAAGACATTTTGGCCAGTGAGAACGTTGTGTGGTAACGTCGCGACAGTGGATGACCCTTGATCAAACCAGGGTTCACTCCTCGTGGACTTAGTCATTCACGACCACACTTTGCAATTCACACAAAATGCTTGAAGTGCGATGAGGGCACATGGAAGGGCTTATATTCATACAAGAACTGCTACTACTGCATGCAGGTGGGTATCTAGAATCGAGGTTTCATAGCGCGCCAAAAGAGAAGTCAAGTAAAAGCAAAGATGCTCTACAAAATATGTCTGTGTCGTCCAATGAAAAGCTTTTTGACTTGAGCTTTCCAATCAATTCCAACGCTTCTACCATGTCCCCAACATATGTTCGGTCTGAAGTGGGCCCAAACGCTCGCCGAACCATCGTTCCGGGTGGATTGCGGAGGCAGCGTGAACGGTCCGTGAGACCAGTCGGATCACCCAAAGAGTTCCGACGCAGATCCAGTTCCCCAGCCGACCATCTAGAGGATGCCGTCGATCTTCTCAAACGGATGTCGGCTCGACAGCGCAGCTGGCAACACGCGCCAAGCAGTCCGTGAGAATCGTTTCGTCGCTTTGAGATAGTCGTGGGTAGCCTGCTTTGTCTTTTGGGGTATTTTCTGGAGACAATGCTTCATCTTGCTAGTCCACTTGCGACGCGGCTGCGCGCAACCATCCAAGGGTTCTGACCAACATTCGGAATCGACATCCGAATTAGTGGCGACATGTTCAACAAAATTGGCGGCTTCCTCGTATATCCTCGGAGCCGCATACAGGCGGTTGGCGATGATTTCAGGCCGCATGGGTTCATCATTGTCCGTAACTATCGTTAGCGACGCACGCAGCTGTGAGAACTCTTCTACGTTGCGGTCCTCGGATTCGCTCCTCGTAATGGAGTTCTGAGCGTCTTCAAAGTCGGTTCCGATGCGCTCGGGTGCGTTGGGCCAGCTTTCATCCTCCCACAGCTTCAGTCCACTAGACCATTTTTTGGTAGTAGTAACGGGTAAACTGTGTGCACCCTTCCCATCCCGCACAGTGCCACCTGCATAACCTTGAAAGTGTTCGCTTTTTGGAACAATACCTGCGACAGAAGGACTGCACACTGTCGGCGCGGAGATTTCATAGCCATGTCCGCACTTTTCAGTATCGTTGTCGGGGCTAAGTGCGTTCATGAGCCGAGAATGTTCAGTTCGTGCAGACTGTGGACGACTGGTCCGGTAAGATGAAATGGATGTGCTCGAAGTGCATTTTGAGAACACCGAATTCCGGACGGATGAGTTGGTACTCAGGGTGTCCTTAGAAGGCGAAGTGCGGATTCGAGCCGTGGCTTCGGGTCGATTAGCGTACGGGATATCATCCGCGTCCTTGATCTGCCCTGGCTTTTCAGCTTCATAACAGTTCGTCCCAAATGGTAACAGCGACGGGCCATGTACCATGCTGCGTCCAGTCTCAAGCTTGTATTCCAGCCATTCGCGACGATCAAAGCCTGTGCCGTCACCAGCGCAATGTGTTATTCTGAAGCGCTCTTGTAGCATATCCAGAGCGTCATCCGCTGAGAGTCCCCAACTTCCCTCATCATGTGTGGCGCAAGGGCTATGACCCTCAAAGTCTGGGTCGTAGCAGGGTTTGCGGACGACATTGTAGGTGGTACCGGGAGGTATTAGGCACGAAGAAAGTGACGAGCACGAAGGCGCACGGGTATCTTCAGCGTGAGCGATCAGAGATGCGAGTGAACAGTAACCGCTATGACGACGAAGTCGGGAGTTTTGATTTGGTCCACAGGGGTACGGTATATCGATGTCCTTGGGAGGCGCTGACGTAGATGAGCGGGCATCAGAATATGTACGGCTGGGTGGCGTGATTGACAGCGCTCCTGCCACATCCTCTAATTCTTCGACCTTTTTAGCAAAGGACGAGAGTGCGTTCTCGATCCTCAATTCAAGATCGATGTCGTCGTCTTCTGAGTCAGGGTCGGTATCTGATCCGGCGCTGTCGATGCTGGCGTTCGCGATGCACTGAGCCAGGGAGGGCGCACTATGAGCGCGCACCAAGCGGGCTTGATGAGGTGTCTCAGTACCCAAACCGTGCTTGGTATCCTTCAACTCTGTCGACACCTCGGCCTTGGAAGTCGCAATCTTTCGCATGAAGTCGCGCACCCCACACCATGGGTGATCTGCATCCTCATCCTCGTTGACGTACTCGCGCAGGTCGCCCTTCATATTCTCGTCTAGTATATCGAACTCTTCCTCTTGCTGTGCTTGGCCAAAGAAGAAGACAATCTTGGTGCCAGTAGGGGTGATGTGCTCGTGGCCCATTTTCTTAACGGCCTTGTACTGTCCGACAAGGTAACCTTGTACATCTCGCTTTGTCTCCACGTCCATCAACGCGAAGCTCCTCACAATGCGCGGATAAGTCGTGGAGCGTTCTGCATGATCATTGGCAGACGAATCGAAGGCTGCACTGATCTCGGGTTGTGGGCCTGAATGCCTAGGTTGGCTGGCCGTCCTGTTTCCAGCTCCTGCGTTTGCATGTTTCGCGCGACGGGTCTCAACTGGCGATGCAGGAACTCGTAGTCGCGCCATTTTGTCTGTGAGCTGACCAATATGCTTCCGTCTGTGGTGGTAGAAAACCCGGCGCTCAAAAGCGCGCGGCTTGCATGATGGCAAGCTACTTGGGTTGAGTGTCGAGATGACGTGGGACGAAAGGCGTAGTCGCTCACCACCAGAGTAGGTACAACTGGAGTCGATGTGTACAAAAGCTGTGTGAGCGTTTGAGTTACAGAAGCGGGTCTCTCTTTTGCCAGCGCTCACCATAGCAACGTTGGGGCGGGGCCCGGGCTATATTACCATCTTTCACTTGTTTCGAAGACAATCCGCGTGAATTTCGGAACAAGACTCAAGAAGAGAAGACATTGTGAGGAGACGGGACGAGATGGAATCGCAAGCATGAGACATGTGGTATATCGTGACCAGCAAACAGGTCTTTCATAACGAAGGTCGAATTCTGGATATCTGCTTCGTCTCTGAACTGTGTATAAGTAGTCGCTATATACACGTCAATGACCGGATCTACTGACCGGCAGGTTTCCGGTGCATGACTGTCGCTGCCGCCTATACAACGTTAGTGTACTGATTTCCCATTCACTCGATTGCACATACCTGGTGGTTCGGGAAGATCAGACTATCAGCCAACACGACATTCTCCCTCCGTCCCGCAGCGAATACCACAACCTCTGCGATATCCTCCGGTGTCAGCGGTTCAACGCCCTCGTAGACCTTCTTCGCCTTCTCTTTATCGCCTCCAAATCTGACCACACTGAATTCTGTTTCAACTTGTCCAGGATCAATCTCGATGACGCGTATCCGTGTAGCAATGAGTTCCTTGCGCATGGCGTCGGTGAAGGAGCGCACAGCAGCTTTTGTAGCGCAGTAGATGGATCCGCCTTGGTAGGGCTCGCGGCCTGCGATACTGCCAATGTTTATAATGTCGCCGGAAGGAGTGGATCGCGCTTTGAAGATGGGAAGGATGGCTTGCGTCATGTTGATCAAGCCGGTCACGTTTGTGCTGAACATGGTGTCGATGTCGGCGGGCGAAATATCGGGAGCTTGCGCAACACCTTTTACAAGGCCCCTGGGTTGAATGTTAGCAAACGGTAACGCGTATCCGAAGAGATGGTGCCATACGCGTTGTTGACGAGCACGTCAATGTTCTTGTACTCTTGTGGTAGGTTTCCGACAAAGTTCTGGACTTCCTCCGGCTTGCTGACGTCAAGCTTGACTGGCAGGACCTTGACGCCTTTTGCGAAGCCTTGGATTTCTTGTGCGATCTCCTTCAATGTGTCCTCTCGCCGCGCAGTGAGGATAAGCTTGAGGTCGTCGGGCTGTGTCCGCGCAAATTCGATTGCTGTGGATTTGCCAATGCCAGAAGAAGCACCGGTGATGACGATAGTCTTGCCCTTTAGGCGCTCTGCCATCTTGGTTGACATGTTTGCGGTATGTTGTTGGAGGATGTTCGTTAGCTGGGTGCTTGTAGGTGCGATGCGGGGCCGTAAGGGAGCTTTGGCGAAGGCAGTAGCAGTGCGGAGGAGTTGGCGAGATGACGAAAGATTAGGCATGTACGCCGCACTGCTTTGTAATACAGCAATTGATGTTTGCAGGACGTGGGGGAGGCGATTGGGGATTTGGAGACAGAAGGCAGCGGTCATGAGGTCGCCATCGGCGTATCTCCGAGGCTGCACGAGTCAGACACCGAGGGGTAAGCACGACAATGTGGAGAGCTCTCGCGTCAAGGAGCGACGGCCTGGTCTCAACCATCATACAGTCACACACTGCGAAGAACACATGTTGAGTTGAAATTATTTGATTCATGCCTTTGCCATGTCTCAGGCGGGCTTCATGGAGACGTTTTATCGTCAATCCAAGTCATTATATTCCTCCTCCAACTCCTAACACGCTGAGTATGTGTGCGGGGTATCGAAATCGGCATTCATCACGACGACTTTAGTTGGCGCCCTTCTTCTTGAGCATAGCCTCGTCCTCTTCCCTCAGCTCCTGGTCGATCTTGGCTCCCTTGGAAGGCTCGTTGCCGTGTGCGCGTGCGGGGAGGGTGGCATCTTGCTCGCGCTGGCGGTCCTCGAGAGACTTCTCCTCACCCTCCTTCTCACGCTTCTCCTCGCGCTCGAGCTTGTTGGCGATGGATCGCTCGTCCTCTGCGGGTGATTGTTAGTGAACGGTCTTGTAAAGAGATGACTGATGACGCGGCATATCGACAGAGGAAAATGCACGCGAGGCTGAGAGAAACATACTAGAGTCCTGAGCCTTGTGAGAGTGCTCCTTGCCCTCGTGGAAGCGGGCCTCCTTCTTCTCCTGCTCGATCTCGGCGTTGGACCTGGTGACCTGGTCCTGGGACTCGTAGACCGCACTGTTACCGACGTTGGAAGTTCCAGACATGTTGTTTGTGTGGGTTGTTGGAAATGGGAAGAAGTAGAAGGTTTGTAAAGTGTAGTTTGGAGTGAGAAGTGGCAATTGATTGTGTTTGTTGTTGGGTGAGTGTGTCTTCTCCCCTCTTTATTAAGGGTCTGAAGTTTGCGCAGAGGCTAGGACCCATGATGACGTAGCTGGTAGCAATTACATCATGGTGGGGAAAACAAACACCAACCCATGGATATTTCGGGCGCCAAACGCAAGAAGCCTGATGACATGCATGAAGCCGATGTGGTACTGGGGCTGATGAAAATTGCATGCCTAGATATTGCGATGGCGGAATCCTTTGCTGAGCTAAGTGCGGCCTTGCGCAGAACACAATATGCATCCATCACGCGACAATTATGCGTAGCTCCTCTTCTTGATCCATCTCTCAACAAGTGCCAGCGCTTCTTTTGGCTTGTCCATCGGTACCAGATGGCCTGCTCCGTTCACTGTAGCGAATGCAAACGTGGTCTCTCTCCCGCTTGTAGTCACAGTCTTGACCTCTTTGAACCACCCCACCTCCTTGCCCTGATGTTCCCAGGGCCTCTTTGGCTGTGCGACAAATGCCGGTTGGCCTTTCCATTGCATCGTGCTAGCCCACTGCAAGTTCCCTGCGGTGTTGCAAGCAAGGTCCAAATTACCCTGGTAGAAGAGCACGTCGATGCCATGCTCAAGAAGATACAAAACCTGAGGCTGCATGCTGACTACCGGATCTCCAGTAAGCGCAAAAGCCAGCGCAATATCAAAAGAGAACCCTGTGTAGTTGCCTATAGCTTTGGGTACGCCAAGCGCTTCCCAAACCTTCGGCATGTTCATGTAGTCTTGTATCCTTGGGATCTCTGGGTAGCAGAAATCGTCCTTCGTCTCGCAGCCATCCGTGATATCAAATCTATTGCGACCTCCGGCTCCAGACTCTCCATCGTAGAGGAGAACAACACCTTCCATGCATACGTCGTCGGCTGCGAGGCAGATGGCTGGATCGGGGTTCTTGTAGCACACATCGATAAGCGCCATACAACGAGGGAGGTTGGTAGCTATGATGTCGCAACGGGTCTGGTTGAAGACGGGAGTCTCCACGCCGGGGTTTGTGGTGCACAGCGTTTCCCAGAAACCAAAGTTGGTGTCCCGAGGTGAGACAAAAGCGTTGCCCGTGAAGGTCGACTTGAGATTCACTTGCGGACGCTTAGGATATTCTAGGTTCTTCGTGACAATTTCTGCGCCGAGTGTTGGAACGTAGTGGCCCTATCTTCGATTAGTGAGTGTCTTGCAAGAGTCAGCAACATATTCTTACAGCATAACTCTCTCCTGTAATATGAAAATCGCGATTCAAAAGATCCGGGAAGACTTCGCTCGTAAACAGCTGCAAGAAGTGATGCATATCCTCAGCAGCCGTGAAGCTTGTCGCAGGGAGCGGGATGCCCTCATCGACGTAGCTGAAACCCACACCAGCGGGCTGATCAACAAAGATGATGTTGGCATTCTTGCTCCATCCGTATTCGTTGTGCACGGTACCGTTGCCAAACTCATTGATCGTGCAAGGTCCCAGTTCGCCCATCAGCCCAAGCATGCCTGAGCCACCCGGTCCTCCTGTCAACCATAGCAGGAGCGGATCTTCGGAGGGCTTGTCTTGTGATTCGAAGTACCAGAAGAAGATGTGCTTTGAGCCGATGTCTAACCAGCCGGTGTATTGCTTGGAGCGCGCGTCACAGATAGTGTCGCTCTGTTGATGTTTTATGCGAATCGAATGGTGCTCGGAGAATGGACTTTGGTAGACCTGAAAGCCTTCTACTTCTGGTCTCTCTTGGAATGGGACCTGGGAGAACAAGGACGCTGTTGCAGTCGCGGCGAGCAGACTAGCAATGAAGAGCTTCATGGTTGGCAGGTGTACCCTGATGGGCTGATAGTTGGTGCTCGGCACGAGATGGAAACACCGCAATACGATCAACAAAGTCAATACAGGGTGAAGATATCACAAACACGTATCTATGGTCTGGGGATCACGAAGGAAGCAGGAAGATAAGATGGCTGGTTGCTGACGAAGAGGAGCGGCCTAATGACGCCCGCCTCGGCTGGGGGAGCCCGCGGCGATCGCCCTGTATCGACCAGGGTACACGACATCTTCAACACGACTACTGCACGCGACTAGACACCTCTCTTGGCTAGATTTCGCGACTGGAACGTGTCAACTCGCGCTACCCACACTCATACTTTGCCATTCATATTTTGGACACGCAACTAGCCTCAAACAGCACGCTGGGAGGACTCATCGATCCAGCGCCCATTTCACCAGAGCAACAACTTCTTCCTTCACCATGCCCTACAACAACACCCCGATTGCGCCAAATAAGGAAATCACCGGCCATGTGTCGCTTCCTCGTAAGTAACGACTTGACTGTCTTCACTTGACTCCACCCCCTTCCCCATTGCTCCGACCCTCTGCGTGCCTCTTAGAGACCGCCCTACCACCACGTAGTACTGCTACGACTTACGCCTCTGGTGGCCTCATGACATTGAACGACTTACTGGCTAGCCACCGCTTGTATTGAGCGCAATGTCTTCAATTGCCCACGTCCCCAGTACCCTCGTCTTTCCTCGTAGCAGACAATCAAGCTAACTCACTCTACAGTCGCACGCGTGCAAAAGATAATCCAAGCGGATCCCGAACGTATCACGACCTCCAAGAATGCCGCCTTCGCCATCGCACTGGCCACAGAAATGTTCATTCAGCACCTCGCAACCACCACACACAACGTCGTCAAAGCGGAGCGTAAGCCGCGCCGCAACATACAATACCGCGACGTGAGCAGCGCGATATCGAAGACAGACAACCTCGAGTTCCTAGTCGATGTTGCGCCCAGGACAAGCACATGGGGCACTGTGAAGAAGAAGTTGGATGAGAAGGAGAAGGAGGATGCGAAGAAGAAGGAGAAGGATGGGAAGAAGGATGGCGCGGTGAACGGACAGAAGACGCTGGATGGTGCCTCCAAGACAGCAGAGGGCGCAGACAAGGACACAGAGACGCCTACCAACGGCGCTTCAACAGCCTCGCCTACCCCAGCGAAACCAGACGAGACGCCCGATGCCATGGATGTCGATCAAGAAGTCGAGCGCGTGGAAGACAGCGAACCAGAAGAGGACGCAGCGGCAATGCAGATCGAGATGGAGATGCGCGGCCCGCCTCGTCAACCCACCGCGAGTGCAAGCAAGAGCCCTCAGGCTAGGCGGTCAACAGGTGGATTTACTGCGATTAATGGTCAAAAGTAAATCGGCTCTTGATGTTGTAGGCAGAGACAGAACGGTATGGAAGCGGATATCTTGCATTGCATAACGGCGTTTGCTGGGTATATCATGGGAATGGCGCTCAGCTGTTTGGAAGGTGGGCCGCATTACGGCGTGATTGCCTACAAGTATGCAACTTGAACCAGAAGTGTCAAATATACAAGTGACCGACCGGATTAGACCTCCCTCGAGTGCATCTGATGCAGCTCAACCTCTATCATCTTAGTCTTCTAACCCATCTCCGGCTCCCAAACTTCCACACTCCCCATCCACCCCTCCCTAACTACAATGCCTTCCAGCACGCCTTCCGTCCTCTCCCACTTCACCCCAAACGCCCCACTGTTGATCTTACATATCCTAACCGCCTCAACCCCACCCGCCATCTTCACCAGCTCAAACAGCATCTCCATAGCGGGCTTCGTATTTTCGACAATAACGTCCGCCTTGTCCTTACCCTTGCCATACTTAGCACTCGTAAACAAACAACCGATCCAATGCTGCTTCTTGCCGTCCACAGGTGGTATGAGAAGCGCTGTGCCAGTGGGTACCGGTCTGGACTTGAGGAGGTGTTCTTTGGTGCAGAAGTCTCTGTAGATGACATGGGCTTTTGGATAGTCGTCTTTGAAGGCTTTGGCTATGCCTGATCCCCATACACCTTGGGTGTTGCAGGCGTGGATTAGAAGAGTTTGTGGGGGTGCGTCGAAGATGTCGCCGGGGTGGTAAGTGAGGGCCAGAGTAGGTAGATCAGACGAGCTTGGGGATGGGGAGAGCTTGTTTGAGGGTAGATCTTTGTGTGAGAGGTGGCGCGGTGGTGTAGGCTTGGTTGCGGGTTTTGTGTCTCGCCGCTTCTCAGGTATTGGTGCCGGAGATCCTGATAGCGCCCTCTTGCCTTTGCCTTTATCTTGTGGCTCAGGCGATGGTGTCATGGTCGCTTTTCTGGTCGTCCTTTCGGTGGCTCCCTTGGCTTTTGCTGGGGTGGGAGATTCGGTCATGGGCCCAAAGTAGGACGTGATGGTAGAGTCTTTGGGTGGCATGGTGTGGGATTATATAGTCATGGGAGGTTAATTGTAGTGGTACAACGTGAATTCAACAATGAAGTGAGAGAGGAGCAACTGTTTCCAGACGACTTTCGCGTGTCCGAAGAGGGATACCCTGCTTGCGGCACGCATAGAATCAGGCAGTCGCCAAGACAGTCAAACCAGGGTGCTTACCCAAGGCGCTTGCCGACTTGACTACTATCGTGCATTATGTGGCTGAACGAGGAAGGAAGACTGGATGGTTTTATAACTCAGTATAAATGCCGCGATCTTACCACCTGGGACGCTGACGAGACGCTCGTGTTCTCTTTTGCAACAATTATCCACAATTTAAGTTCAAGTCTGCGAACTGTCTAATAAATGGGATGAATCTGAAGTTGAATATCACAATGTATAGCTCTCGTGATAATGCCCGCCGATGACGCTCAAATCTGGTGAAGGTCGCGCGGAAGGGCGATGGGCCAATCACACGACACCTGACATAACGCTCCTTGCCAAACCGCCAAAACTTCAACATTCCCGACCTAAGCTCTTCCCCATCAACGACACCGACCCCCGCCCATCCGCGTCCACGATGCCCGCCCTCGCCAACACAACCCGTGCCATTGCACGCTCATGGACCGCTCACCAGATGCCCGTCGCTCGGGCGGCCGGCTGCACCGCTCT